CAGGCCCGGGCTGGATTTGAACCCACCACCTTAAGTGTACGTGGCTGGCGCCTTAGCCACTTGAGCCACAGATGCCGAGCCAGCAAACAATTTTTTAAAATCTATGTAATCCAGCGTTTCCAAAATTTTTTGAGAAAAAATACTTATTTTCACAGAGTACATATTGATAGCTAAAAATACTTATTTTCACAGAGTACATATTGATAGCTCTAAGAATTTGAAAAAACATTAGCATTTTTTAACTACCACAAAACCACTTCTTAATTTCTGTTAAGCTATGTAATCTCTATGTGCCTCTATTTCTTAATTTGCAGAATAGGTATAGTAATTGTATCTACAATGTATGTTATTATAAATATTAAGTCATTATTTGTAAAGCACTTAACTAAGCTAATATTTTCAGAGCACTTACTATTTCTTGGCTTACAGTAAACAGTATGTAAACATTTGTTAAATAAAATATATTTTAAATGTTATAATCACATTTATTATAATTCCATTAAAATATTGTTATCACTAGTTTATTATTAACTTTCTATCATAATTCCACTAAGAAGGGAGTGGACTCAGGCATTTATTATGTAAAAATTTATTCCACAATCTGCTTTCAACATTTGCACTGAATTTGTAGGTCATGAAAAATTATAAACCCAAATTTTATTTTATGAAAATCCCAGAATGATCAAGTGAGTGAAATAGAAAAATCCTACAAAGCCAGCAGGGCTGAGCTGTGGCTTCCATTCCTCTTTGAATGACTTACCATGGACTACAAAAAAGGGCTTTTCCTTCTAGTCATTTGTCATGAGTCAAAAATGTCTAGAAGAGGAATTTCTTTCACGCAAGGAAGGTAAATTTTAAAGATTGCTCTACATCTACTGAATTCTTGAAAATTACTTTGTTTCTAGGTTTCATTTTCTGGCGAGAGAGCCCAGAGGAGAAGTCCTTGATAACTCTTTCACTGGGGGAATATGCAAAACTGTCAAAAGCAGTAGAGCAAGTAATCCATACCGTGTTCCAGCGAATCTGGAAAATGTCAACTTTGAGGTATGAAAACCTATCGTGGTGGCAGCTCCAACACCAACAGGGATTATAAGCTAAACTTTTCCTGAAAAATTAGTAGTGAATGAAGGAACAGAATGCAATAGTGATGAACCATTTTCATCACCTATTCTGTGTTTGTATTTCATCTGTCCACAATAACAGTTTACAGATGACAAACCTTAGGTGACTCACCGGCCCCAGTTAAATGGCTAGTCAGAAGTGAATGCGAGGCTCAAGCCCAGGTTTCTCTGCCCCAAGTCCTTGTTTTCTCCAGTGAATGTTGCATTCTAACATAGCCCCACACAGATAAATGGTTTGTCTTGCTCAAATTTTCTCCTTCCATAGCTTGTTCTCATAGATATCCAAGAAATATAGACATTAAGAAAAGTCTTCTTCAGCACTTGACTATTATCTAAAACTTATGGTGATATTTCTTCAAACAAAGATGGAGAAATGACTAGATTTGAGGTCACAGCTGTTGTTTACTTTTCACTGATCTGTGTGTTGCTTTAGTCCGCATTTATGCCTTTAGCAGGCAGCTATATCTTACTGAAAATAAGAAAAGAGAGAAAGTCAGCAGGCATCTGACTTC